GGAAAGCGTGGGTGGGGGGGGGGGGGGGGGGGGGAAGCAATTCCCAGTTCTAAGTGACCTTTGGAAATGAACTTCTTCTTTACCCTCACGATGTTTCTTTAGAAACTGAAACAAAATGTTTTCAACAACCAGGCAGGAGACATTTTATGATTTCTTCTCTCCCCTCCCCTCCCTGCTTGCTCTCAATTGTTTTTTGGGGAAAAAAAGAAAAAGAAACAAGATCTGAGGGACTGCGCAGTTCCTACCCAGCTGAGAGGATGTACTTTCAAGGGGAATGACTGCTGAAACAGAGCAGGCAGGACAGGTTTGGCCTAGCTGGACCTGATGACCTACCTGGCTTTTGCTGTCCTAAAGTCCAATGATACCATACTTCAAAAATGTGATAAAAAATTAAGTCATATAGCAAGCAAAAAGTATGCATTGTATTAAATCATTTCAAAGGATGAAGCTCTGTTCTGTGCTCTAGGCTTTTTATTAAAATGTACCACTTAGAAGTTATTATGTAACCATGGCATAATTCTATCATAATTCTTAAGATATGCTTGCTTCTTCTAAAAGAACTATATAATTATGACCAAGCACACCTATTTTTCCTATACTTTAATCTTTTTAATATGTGCTTCAAGAATCTAAAAATGAGTAATACTTAACAATGATACTAAAATTAGAAAACAAGCACAGCTAGCTCTGAAACAATAGCAGTGCAAGAAGGCTCCAAAGAAATGTACCTTCCAGCATATTGTTTTAAGGATTATTGCTACACGGTGAATTCATTGTTAACATGCACATACAAGCTAGAGCTGAGAAAAAAAATCGGGATTTCAATTTGCTAGTTAAAAGTCTTCTCAAAAAATAATTAAAAAGTAAAGATATTTGCTCTCATTATTTCTCAGACAGTGTAACAGCTACCAAAGCCGACTCAAAAGTATCAGAATATGAGAAATGTCACTTTTCAGCAAAAACAAACACCCAACTTTTCAAAAAAAGAGTTGCTTCTTTTTTTAGACAATCGCTAGCTTTCAGTGGTCTTCTTGTGTCACCTGTTACAAGGCTTAACTTCACTTTTCCTAAACAGTCCTTCAGACATAAGTCTATGCACACATTCTCTGCAGTTACCACTCCTTTAGGTTGAGTTTCCCTTCTTTGCACCTTCAACATTTATCTGCAGTATATTTCCATCTCCCTCTTCATGCAATGGCTTAATTTGTCATGCTTTAACTTAAAAACAGAAAACTAAATAATTTTAGATTCTAAGGATAACGCATTACCCTTACCATTTCATGTTTTCCAAGGTCCTTTAGAATAGAGTAGAATAGAGTAGAATAGTATAGTTCCAGTTGGAAGGGACCTACAATGATCATCTAGTCCAACTGCCTGACCACTTCAGGGCTCACCAAAAGTTAAAGCATATTATTAAGGGCATTGTCCAAGTGCCTCTTAAACGCTGGCAGGCATGGGGCATCGACCACCTCTCTAGGATGCCTGTTCCAGTGCTTGACCACTCTTTTGGTAAAGAAATGCTTCCTAATGTCAAGTCTGAACCTCCCCTGACACAGCTTTGAACCATTCCCATGTGTCCTATCACTGGATCCCAGGGAGAAGAGATCAGCACCTCCCTCTCCACTTCCCCTCCTCAGGAAGATGTAGAGAACAATGAGGTCGCCCCTCAGCCTCCTTCTCTCCGAACTAGACAAACCCAGAGTCCTTAAGCACTCGTCATAGGGCATTCCTCCCAGCCCTTCCACCAGCTTTGTTGCCCTCCTCTGGATGCACTCAAGTACCTTAACATCCTTCTTAAATTGTGGGGCCCAGAATTGCGCACAGTACTCAAGGTGAGGTCCCCTCTGCCCCCTTACATTTGACAGTGTTTCCTTCCCTACAGGCTGCTCTCTAGTAGATGATGGTGAGTATTCCATTGATTGTTCTGTGGTTTTCTTATCCATTTCCATCTCAGAAGAAGTATTCTCATGTTCTCCAGTCCATCTGTTCAGCTGCTTATCAACCAGCTTGTCAAGAAGCTGGGGTAGGTGATCTTCCTCAATTGATATTATTCTTTGGAGACGCAATGCTTTAGACATTCCTCCAGTGGCTCCAGCATCAGGCTCTACAGAGAGAATCCCATTCAGTCCAGCAGAATTCCTTCTCTTTGAGTTATTGAAAACATCATCTTCTTCAAATGAATGGCTACACAGAGAAAAAAGTAAGTACATCACAAAAATATATTGGACCTGGATTCCTATTCTTTTACTCTAGTGTAACTGAATTTAATCTCCCGTGTTTTTTACTACTCACAGCAGGCATAGTAGATTCAGTCCAATGTCTACTGAAAAGTCAGCTCATCATACAATGTGTGTATATATAGCGTGCTTGATAATTATAAGCATCATGGGGAAGCTAATAACTTACGGGGAAAACCTGAACCAGAATACAAAACTAAGATTAGCCTCATTTCTAACCTCATGGAATAGCTAAAGTAAATTTCTCTACTCTGATTTCCTACTCCCCTCCCCCCTCTATTCTGGAAGAATAAAACAATCCCCCAACCCAGACCCTTATTATGTGTAATCTAATTCTTTCTTTAGCAGGTAGGAGGGAGATGGGTTTGTTTAATATGGATGAAAAAAGGCTAAGGGGGAGTGTAGATAAAATAGATCCAGAGTCTTCTCAGATGTGTGCAATGACCACAGATGCAAGTTGCAATAAGAGAAACACTGGCTTGATACAGGGAACAAAATTTCTTCATGAGACTGGTGCAGCAAGGGAACAGGTGCCCAAAGAGGCTATGGGATCTCCATCCAGATGTTCAAAAACTCAACTGAACAAGGCCCTGAGCAACCTTATCTAGTTTTGGAGTTATCCCTGTTTGAGCAGGAGATTGGACTAGTGGCATCAGATGTCCTTCCTATCTAAACTTTTCTATGATTTTTGTGCCATAATTGCTTTTGCCAATTATGCTCTACTTCTCGGTACTGAACTTACTAAACTGTGTCTCTGAAAGCTTTCCCTCCTTACACTTCATGACCCTGTGCCTGAAGGGACATTGTCTTAGCTGCTATTTCGAAGTGAAATACTAGTCTTCTTCCCAGCTCCTCTTGTCTCAAAGGAAACATGCTAGTGTTTCACTGAGATCACCATCTCGTTCCTGTTGATTTCAAGTTTACAACCACACAGTTGAGAATTAAATTCTCCATGTTTTACTAGTTCCACATCCCATACTTTACAACAGGACTGCTGTCCTCTACAATGAGAGGGGAGGAGGTATACTCTTTCAGGGAGTTACCAAGGACATTGTACAACATCAACATAGGGTAATGGGCAAGCTTTTGTGCCTCCCAGCATATACTCATTCACAATGGGATGTATCTCTTACCTTTGCAGACAGTACACCTGTTTTATGTGAAAATTTTCCTCTTTATTTCCAAATTTCTTAAGGAGCACAGTAATCTTATAGTGACAGACACTTTAGAAATACATGCTTTGAAAAGTCCAAAGGTATCAGAATGAAAACATTCCACATCTTCTTTCTATAAGCCTCATCGTACTCAAACAGGGAACACACACAAAAAAGTTCTTACCTGTTCTTGCCCTCTATGTATTTCCCAATCACAGACCCTGATCTTTGCTTCCAGCTGGCTTTTGGAACACTTGTTTTGCATTTCTGCAGAAATACAGAATACTTCTTACTAATTTACTCCAGTTGTTCATTATGGTTAACTGCCTTCATTCCTAATGCTTAAATAATGCAATGAATATGAAAGAAAAAATTGTAGAAAAAATCCTAAAAGTATAAATGCTTCAAAATCCTAACTGATAAACAATCAGAACATGGAAACTCCAGATCCTGCAAGAATTCATCTTCTTTGTCAACTAAGTGGACCACAATAAAACAGCATTATGTCATGAAAAGAAGTCAAGAGATATATGGTGATTTACACTAGCAGCTTCTTGTAAGAATAAGAACACAAACAAGTGTAAGCTAAGTGGCCTTAGTCTCCTTAAGACAGGGTACTTCTGGAACTTCTTAGGGGCCCATTCTCTGCTGCTGGATAAAAATGTAATGTGATCTGCTTTTACCCAGTACTGATAGCTATTCAGGTACTGATTCAGGTACTCGGATATTGTACTGTTGTATAAACGTTTCAGGATATTAGCTACTCTTGACTGAATAGATTAACACAATTTAATTGTTCAATTTTTAGCTGTTGTGGTTTAAACTCAGCTGGCAACTGAGCACCACACAGCCACTCGCTCACTCCCCCAGCCCCAGTGGGATGAGGGAGAGAATCAGAAGAGTAATAGTCATTTACCTGTAAAAATATGTCACGTTCATCTTTGAGATGTTTGTTCCTCTCCCTGCAAAGAGAACACAAATAAAAGAAACACCAAGGCAACGTATTTAGAACTGCTGACTTTTCTACTCAGCACTAACAGACAGACTGGACAGTTGGCAGTGTAAAAGGCAAGACAAATGCACTTTAATCTGGCATATCTCCACCCTTGATCATGCTTTATTTATATTCTCACCACAGCCAGTTCCCTGTCTGGGCCATTGAATCTCCAGTAGGGCTATGCTGATTAAAGCCAGCTGGCATCTGGCCCTCATTCTGTAGTTTATCAAAACAAATGCCTTAACACATAGAAATCTGTTCTGGTCAATATGCCTTCACTTACTCTAAATTAGAATGTTTAAAGCTTTTCACAGTAAAGATGACTTCTTAATGTGGAGAGGGTGTAATGAACACCATCGGTATTCATCTGTTGACAGCTGTGAAGGCCAGTTATGTCCCTCTGAGGGCTACAGTTGTGGCTGCCACGGAAAAGTCTCCCTCGGAAAACATCCATCTTCCATTCATTATGCAGAAGAGATGAAAATGTCAAGAAATGGAGACTCAAGGCAATCAGCCAGCTCTGATCAGATCTGACAACACACCTGCTTAGTACATCATTCATTGTCTCCGTCTATGGCTGGCCTGGCCACAAAAGAGACTGAGCAGCCATTACAGCCTTGGTGAACAGAAACAACCTCTGCTGTCATATGTTTCTATCTATGGCCTCATTACCAGCAGCAGGCAAGATCACACCACATGGAGTGGCCTATGGGAAACACACTGCAAAGTAAGAGCCTTTCCTTAAGTATGGGAGCTTGTTGGTAACTTTAAAATGAGGCCTCCTGAAGGAAATACAGTGAATGAAGGCCTACCGGCAAGTCCAATCTATAGCCTATGCAAACTTACCACTGAGCAAACAAAAACTAACATTGCTGCACATTAAAAAGAGGGTTACAATTGTCTGAACACAACTCCAAAGTTTGAAGTCTATCAATATAGAAATGTTACAGAAAAAATTTGCTAACTATGTTTTGATATAATTTTACAAATAAACATTTTGGTGAAAGAATCTTTGTTTTGGCTGTACTCCCATCACTTTAGAAACAACAGAGCCTTTTAGTAAGCTTCAAGTCTCCTGTGGCCAGGCTTCTACCACAGAACCAGCTTAGAACAGTTCACTATTGTTTTGTTTTACATTTGACTTTTGGAATGGAGATTGTCCTACAATACCGAATTGCCAAAACAAAGCAAATCTTTCATGTGTACTACCTTCTACCGTGTGCAAGAATGAGGCTTACAAAAGACATATTGTCTTTTGCAACCATTTTTGCTATCTTTTGTGTCATTATCCTGTGGCAGGTTGACCTTGGCTGGCTGCCAGATGCACATCCAGCTGCTCTCTCACTTCCCCTCCCCAACAAGACAGGGAGAGAAAATAATATGGAAAAGCTTGTGGGTCAAGATAAAGACAGGAAGATTGCTTACCAACTACCATCACAGACAAAACAGACTCAACCGTAGGATGATGAGAAAAAAAGACAGAACTAAAATCACCTTCTCCCCAACCCCCCTTCTTCCCAGGCTCAACTTCACTCCTGCACTCCCGACTCTTCTACCTCTTTCACAACCCTGAGCGGCACAGGGGGATGGGGAATGGGGGGTTGTGGTCAGTCCGTAACAGCTCCTTTTTGCTGCTCTTTCTTCCTCACACTTTTCCCTTGTTCCAGTGTGGGTTCCCTCCCACAGGTTACAGTCCTTCACAAACTGCTCCAGGGTGGATCCTTTCCACGGGGCACAGTCCTTCAGGAACAGACTGCTCCAGCGTGGGTCCCCCATGTGCTGCAGTTCCTGCCAGAAAACCTGCTCCTGCATGGGCTCCTCTGCATGGGCTGTAGCTCCTGCCAGGAGCCTGCTCCTGCGTGGACTCTGCGCAGGCTGCAGGGGAATCTCTGCTCCAGCGCCTGGAGCATCTCCTCCCCCTCCTTCTTCACTGACCTCAGTGTCTGCAGGGCTGTTTCTCACACATTTTTTTCTACTTCTCTCTCTCAACTGCTGCGCAGTGTTTTCTACCCTTTCTTACACACGCTTTCCCAGAGGCAGCCACTTGGCTGCTGGGCTCAGCTGTGCCCTGCGGTGGATGGTGGATCCGTTGGAGCCAGCTGGAACCGGCTGTGTCTGGCACGGGGCAGCCCCGGCCTCTCCTCTCTGGCACAGAAGCCACCCCTGTGGCACCCCACTGCCAACACCTGAACACCTACACCCAGTACATATCCCAACATAATTTCTTCCTTTAATGTACCTCTTTAGAATGATGCAAGAAGTTCTTGAACTTAAGGTCTGCATTACCTTAAAAAATCGAGCTGCTTCAGAAGTCCTGACTTCTCTCTCTGTAAGGTTTCTGTCACTCGGTACACCTCCCTGTAATGAAAAGAAATAAATAAAATTGTTCTAACTGTGGTAACAACACTGCTAAAATGCTACCCCCTAGGAGTATCCACATTTGAGCCTTCAGCTTCTCCAAACCTGTAGACTTTATTCTGCATGAATGGTTACTAATTTTAAAACAGTTTATTCAATATAAGGCCCACAGTGCCACAGCAGTTTGAGTTAGCAGAGGAAGGAGTAGAGGTTCTTTTTTTTTAAAAAAAAAAGCTTTATAATTTCTTCATCCAGAGAGCTTAATATACACTGATACTGGCACTTGCATCATTCAGACAAGACACACTGCTGAAATCCTTCTCACTCATGGCCACTAAAGAGCATGTAATATTTTATCCAAAAGTAGAGTTTATCTTGCTGCTAGAACCATATGTCAGGCTCACACATCTACATTCCCTACAATTTCTTTTCAGTTCCTGACTTTAACAGTTATGCAGCCTTAAACATTGGACACAGCGTCTCAGATTTTTACACTAGATTTACACGATTTACTTTGACTTAATGCAACTTGGTGTCTGGCCTTAAATGTTTTTTGCCTTTCAGGGAAGCCTCACGTTCTTCCTGTGCACAGTCTGAACATTACACCTGCTTCAACAGCTCAGGTCTTACCAGACTGATACAGATGTTTAAAGCAACACTGCAGGTGCAGTTGGGTAGGGCTGAGCTCTAATTCCATAAAACACTATTGAATCCAAAGTGCTTTGTAAATGCAGTAGTATTATTCAGCAGTCTGACCACCGGGCAGATTTGCTCTGTAGCTTTAAAACCAGATCATTCCACAGTCTTTGCTCTGGATCTGAAAAGAGAGGCCTCAAAGAGGAAACAAACCACCTTGGGGAGGAACATTTCTACCGTCTACTTCCAAAACACACATCAAATATGCAAACCTAAAATCAGTGTTCTAAACACAGTGGCCATTCTTTAACAATCATTTATCAGCAAAGTTCATTATTCATACCCTCAAGAAAAATTAAATTAGTAATAACTAAGTAGAGTTTTGCACAAAGCTTAACAGAAAAAGAATATGACATTTGATCCAATATTCTGCTCTGTCCTGAAATATGCCAAATAGCCACAGCTCTGAGTTACATAGTTCATTGCTGAAATGTATAGAGTCTGGCAAGATATGCACCACAGTCTGGCATCCGTGTGCTCTCCATTAGCAACAAGAGGGTTTTATAGATCCCTGAGCATTTTTTTAAAAGTATCTTCCATTAAATGAACTTCAGTGAACATTTCTGCCAATTACAGCTTCAGGGTAATGTAACTTTTGCTTTGTGCAGAAGACTGGAGCAAGACAGGTAGATTGATCTGTTACTTAAAGGCCATTTCTATCCCTCAAAATATGAATTGTAAATATTTCTTCTTGAAAAATATTTTTTAATTCAGAGTCAGAATCTGAAATCCAAAACATTTGAAATGGAAACCCCAAAATGATGGTTCTGGATCACCATAAAGGCCTTGTATGAATTGTGATTTAGCTGCATAAGTTACATTTTATCTTGCTGGCCAGGCTCCTTGGTCAGAAATGATGTACTAGACTTGCTTTTGATGAAGAAAAGAAGCACATCCTAGCCAGAGCACATTCTGAGAAGCAAGTTTCAGATAGACTTAGCTTTGAGGAGGATGGAGCATCATGTACCACAACTGTAATTTCTGTAAGGAATCCCACTGGTATTTCAAAACTAAGACATACTTTTTAACCAATTAAACTGATTTTTAATTCCAAACACCCTCAACAAATGGGGGGTGGGAAAATACTGACATTTTGAAGAAGTAGCAAAAGATTCTGTAGAAGCCAGATATGCTACAGAAAACATGCTGAATTACTCGGGAAAAAATGACTAAAACTGCACTTGGCTTTGCTGGTGGTTTCTGCTTACGACACAAACTTAAATCACAGCACCGAATACCCTGACAAGGAGGCTCACCAGCACACTAAGCAAATGCGCTAGAACCACTGCAGCGGGAGACTTACATTTCCTTCTCCTCATGTAGTCTTGACGCCTCCTCCTGAAGCACCTGTAACTGTTCTTGAGCCAGACTTAGTTCATGAGACGTTCTCTCCAGGTCTCTCAGCAGCTCCTGGTTAGTGAGCTTCAGCTTGGTGTTCTCTACTTTGGTTTCTTCTTTGCCACTGAGAAGTTCTGTACATTGCTGCTCTAACTGGGATAGAACAAAAGAGAACAGAAAGTATTATAACTAGCTGAGGCATCTTGGTTTTGAGGCTTTCAATTCAAGTACTAGAGGTTACTTAACAGGGAAGCTATTTCTATCAAAGCCAACATATGAATAAAACACATATGGTGCTCTTCCACTGCTTGTGTACAGACATAATCATGTTACACAAAACCAAAGCCATTCCACTCTATGATTGAATTTCATCCAGTTCAAAAATGCACCAGGACAAACCACAAAAAAGGTGTTTACAGAGGAGATTAGCAGTACTTAGTTGATATTCACAACTGCTATTTTAGACCATTTCCCACAATGGCAAGGCCTACACAGAGTGATTCAGAGTTCTGCCTAAAAACTGTTAGATTTAAATGTGGTAGCTGATAAACCTTCCCATCCCCAGTAATATCAACAAGCATTAACCTTTCTGCCATCTCAGCTAAATCCGCCAAGAAGTGTGAATTTGAGCTTTTTTATTCACTTTTATATTCATTCTCCAAACTATATACAAAGGAAAGATACACCTTCCCTGTGAAACAGATAACAGCAGATGAGAGTGGCTTCTGGTAAGTAAAGAAGTTCCACCTGTTTCTCCCTGGCTAACTGAGCAAATTAAGATGACAGAGCAAAAGTTAAATAGACTAAAATTAGTCCACTTCATATTAGGGAGGGCACTGCTGACCTGAAGATATAAAAGCATATTTATTTATTTATTTATTTTCATTATGCATTTTAAGGGATGTAAAATGTACTAGGAGCATTAAAATGATACCAGTTCAATCCTCCACATCTGAGACACAATGGAGGATTTTGTGAGAACTTTCATTTTGCACATCCCAACAAGCAGAGCTCACACAACCCAAAATCTGTCCTTACCCAGCTCTGCCAGTCTGTTCACGCTCCACAACACTGCTGTTGTTCTAGTCTTGGTTTTGAATGCAACCTTAAGGCCCAGGTTCAAAACAAAAGCAGAAAATACTTTCTAGCTGGGATTGTGAAAGGTCAGGAACAAAAGTAGAGTGGGAGCACTTATCTCAGCAGCAGCACCAGCTTCATGTATTTGCTGAACTGTAGCCTCAGCAGGCTCACAGTTCATATGGAATGCTGACTAGCTGGGCATCAAATTACTGCTGAGCAATGTTGGTTTACATTGCTAGATCACTTCAGTTCCTGAGTATTGCTTCCATTCCTTGACAGAATGAAGTTATCTATTCTAAGTAAAAGACCAGATGCTTCAGGTACTAGAAGACAAGACTTTCTTATCCAGAATAGTGGTTTTGGGAGAAACAAAAAGTGATCACACAAAGATGAACTTTCAAAAAGCTTAAGAGCAACAAATTGCAGGCAGAAATCCCACTTACAGAATACAGGCCATCTGAAAACTTACACAGAGACTGGCCTGGAAATCTAACTGCAACGGTAGCCATCATCAGCTCCCAGAATCATAGGTACTGATGTTAGAAATAATTGCTACAAATCCTGGTGCTTACTCTTGTGAGAAAAACAATTACGTTGAAACTATGCTCAATAGCAGATGCTCATAATATTTAAACCCCAGGACACAAGAGGAGAAAAGGTTATTTCATAGCACTACAGAGCTCACTGTATCTATACAATCCTTTAAGTGATGCCAAACACTACTTTTAAAGCATTCATTTAAACAGCTCCCAATACAGTGGAATAATTCATTAGGTGGTTGTTCAGCTGGTATAGAATGGCATAGACCCTATAGGCTCTAGCTACTTATTGGAGCTGCAGATTGGCTCCCATGGTCATCAAGTAGATGAAAATTGATTAGGAAAGACTCATGGCCCACAGTCATGTTTAAGAAAATCCAGGAAGCTGAGAGAATTAGCCAATTACCACAGGTCAAGCAGAGACACAGTAGCGGATGGTGTATATTCTCTTTTTTTTGACAAAAACAGGGGGAAAAACTCATAAGTTTAAAATCGAGTAAAGAACTGGGAGTGTCCAATACAAATAAACTGTTGCTGAGGACAGCTATTGCTGTCCCTCAAAGACACATGCATTAAGCACTTTCCATGCATTCCCTTGTTCTTAGCTCAGCATCCTTTGTGTATTTTTTCTCCTTTTTTTCTCCTATTTATTTCGAGTGTGCGTGAAAGATGAAACATTTATACAGTGTTATAAGGCTGGGGATTATTTTGTTCTTTATGCTTTTCTTAACAATCCTATCACTTGATTTGCACTTTTGAGTGCTACTGATCCATGTTCTCATGGATCAATCAATCAAAAAACTCACAATCCCAAGATTATGCTCTTCAGTGGTTGTCATCAGCACAGAACCCATCATGTTATGTGAGAAGCCCAGTAACTCTCCTGCATTTCACCTAGTCCACAGCTACTCTCTTCCCCTAATACAAGATTCTGTGTCCTAGATGTTATGCTGGACATCCTCTGTCCCTAGCGCCTCCTTCTGAGACATGCCATCACACATCCCTTGAGGAACAGTATTGAGAATACCTTGTGCTTCATCTAAGCCATGTAGAACAAGCTGACAATTCATGATCATGGTAGCCAGCAAAAAGGCCTAGCCAAAGGAATCTTGGCCTACAGAAGGCCAATCAACATGGAATCAGATCAGTATTTCAGTCACACCAGGCAGAAGACCCTCATAAGGGAGACTCGCTCTGACCAAATCAGCAGAAACAACACTAAACTCACCTTGTCTGGAAGTTCCCTTTCACATTTTTCATAATAATTTCCAACACAGGAATAATTACATTGTGTTAAAAAAAAAAAAAAAAAGAAAAGAAAAAAGAAAAGAAAAAGACTTATTAATGAAGTTTGGAAAAAAACATTTGTATTACTCCCAAGAGGTTCTCTCATATAATCAAGCATGGAAGTTGTAATTAAACCAAGCTACCATTACCATCTGCAAGAATAGATTTAATTATCGAAGTATATTTCCATGCAAGAGGAGGACGCGAAAGTGACAGAGCGCTCTGGATAAGGCAAACATTAGGCAGGTGGAAGCTAACCTAGCACACATTGATATCTAGGTGAATGAAGAGTAATACCAGAAAATGAGTGGGGTTATACTAATATAAAAACAGATGTGAGGAAAGATGAGAGTCACTCTCAGAGATGATCATTAGGAATTAGAAAAATATATGTACAAAACACTGCCTCTAACTACACTGAGTTAAGCCTTCAAATAAACAGGCTAGGCTGCTATACCAGAAAAAAAAAAAAAATACTGCATATAAGATTGACAATGGGTACCAATCAGCCAGTTGAATGACAAAAGTTTCAAGTGCCATCAATCATCTGAATAAAATTATCTCACTCATCACATCATTAGAAGTAGTGAATTCCATTTGTCCAACACAGCTTCCTTTCCATAAAAATAAAATGGGATAGTTTAATTTTTATGGTACTATGAAGATCCTGTCCTTCAAAAGCACCCTTGTTGAGACTCATGCAAATTCATAAGGGAGAGGGGAAATGATAAATAATAGAAATTGCAAATAAAATAGTAAATACAGTAATACATTAATAATAAACAATGCAATGAATAGAAAAGGAAAACATAAAATCAGATAAAAAATAATGCTAATAAAAATAATACAGACATTGTTTTATGTTCTCCAAGATAGGCAATAGTCGACAATAGGCAATGTAGACAATAATCATAAGATAAAACTTCCTGATACTGCTGCCTGTATTACTTGATTAGACCAGGATTAAAATTGACTGTAAGCCTTTGAATAGCTTCTGTGTTTTTTATACCAAATTTAGAACACATATATTTTAGAGAACCACAAGAAAAGGGTTTTACAGAACTACTGGTTGATAACTAAGTTTTAAACATAGTTTTAAAGCAAAAAAAAACCCAACCCAACCAAAAAAGGACAATATTAAAATATAATCATTACAATATTATGATAAAAAATTTCTTATATTTTTGCAGTTAGCTTCAGACTAGAAATGCCTGATTTGTGTGCCCCCACAGATATCTTCAAAGTATAGATTATTTCACTATAGTGCTGCAATGTGGTAAACAGCCTGCATAAAACCACATTTATTCTGATTCGCAGTGGTACTGAACAAAGTTAATTAACATCAGGCAGTTGATTTCAATTACGTAATGGCCTTTTAATTCAGTCCTATGTCCTCATCAGCTAAACTTGCATAATTATAGTAAACTAGAAGTTTGTCTCCCCTCTTACTCCAGTACAATCCTACAATTCCCATCAGCTTCAGCAGCACCTTGATTCATTCCTCAGAAGAGGATCTAAAAACTACACACAACTAGGAAACTGCCCTCAAACTTCTTTTTCCTCTTCCTTCCTTTCTCCTCTTACTTTTCTCCTACTTCTCACGACTGGCACTCCCAAGCACTGCTGCCAGGAAAAGAAATTTTACATGTATTTTATATTCATATTCTACAGAGGGAATTGGTTTCACAGCATTCCATTTCAGCCCTTTAAATTCCAGTGCTGCCCCCTTTCCCTATCACTAGTCTTTCATGCACTGACCTTGGAGTCACTACAGCAAGTTCACACATGCAGAAATACTTTGCTTCCTCAAGCAGGCCATGCATTTTAAGAAGTAAAACACATCAGGCTTTAATATGGGAACTTGACAAGCTGTTACCATGCAAGAGAACCATGCACCACTATAAAACTGTTATCACAGAGAGACGTACCAGGAACGGGTTGTTCAGGAGGGAGCGTTTCAAGTTCATAGTGATGAATCCAAAACAAATAAATGAGTAGTTGGTACAAGCTTTGAGCAAAGGTGTACACTGGAAGACCCAGTTCATTGTTCTCTGCTCTTGCGCTGTATGGGTATTAAGCCAGTTCCTAGCACATTGAAGGCAGCAGAATTCTGCTACATTTTCATAAAATTAACCTAGTACCTCGGGAGAATACCTGGAGCATTTTTTTTCATTTTATCATATAAAAGGAAAACTGCTTTAGAAATAGAGGGTAACATTTTTCCAAAGCACATGCGTAGAACTCTAGCAATCAGAAATATACTTTTAAATGCGTTCAGGTATCTACACTCATGACACAAAAGCAACAGAGGGTCACAGTTTGGCAGAACCACATCACTCCAACGTGCATTTTTGGGACCTAAAATAGTACCTGAAGAAAATCATATGAACAAATAAAAATTATGTATTTTTTAACTCTGAAGGACATTGGTTAATACCCTTTTCTGTTTTTGAACCAATTGTTCCAGTTCTTGTTCTTTTGACAGGAGCTTGCACTCCAGCTCTTGACTGTAGGACTGAAACCTCTCTGTGTCCTGCAAAATTCAAAGAGGAAATGTATTAACAGAACAGCACAATTTTGTCAGCAGGAGGAATCATAAGGAATCAGGCATGAAAATAACAGGCAAGCTTTTCACAGTGAACATAAGCCACTCATAGAACTCAATTTAGGGATGGTATCACTCATGAATCTAGACTCTGAGCTTCTGTAAATTGGTGTAGTCCAGCAACTTCAATGACTGCAGTTGCTACAGGATGTGCTGATTGCACATGAGTAGGCATCAAGTCTACAAAGTGGAGGCAAAAGTCTTCCATCTTAGGCACGAGCCTTAGGAGCTTAGCCAACCTAAATCAATGAAGCTAGAATGCATCCTCCCATTTCCAGCTGCACATGCCCTCATCCTCTTATACACTAGCATTCATGCTCACCTGTTGCAGCAGTGAGCTGTTTCAGAGAGCTAAGCAAGCAGAAAAAAACTAGTAAAAAAGTGAATAGCTTTCTGCAGATTTGGTTTCCTGAACCATACAACTGCTGACACAGAGAAGTGATGAGAATGCACTGATGGAAACAATCTGGACAAATTTAAATTATTATGGAGCCATACTGTAACTCACATACAAGATATCAGGATTGACACGGGAGATACAGGCTATTGACACACAGCACAGCAACTCAGGTTGAAGTAAAAGAAACAATACACGCTACCTTTAAAATCCGTCACTAACAACAATTTGTCACAGATGTTCCACTGGTATAAGCAAGTGATCTGGGCTTCAGGCTCTGCCATTCACTTATCAATCTGTCCACTATCTAAGTATCTTGCAATCACCGGGAACTCCCAGTCCTATTTGGGATTACTCCTTCAGACACTCCTCAGCTGAGACAAATTGTCAGGCCTCCCCTGAGTAAAACTGGGTTCCAGCAGTTCATATCAGCTGAGAATCTGTCCTATTCCTCCACAACCTCCCTAAGGTCCCCAGGAGAATGCCTCTAAACAAAAACAAAAATTCCCTCAAGACAGCAGTAGTTCCTACATGCTTTTCCCCTTCAGCAGTACACTGATTACATTTGATTACACAGGGTAATCAAATGCATGTTAACTGGCTTCTTATGTGGAAGAATATATATCCAAGTGAAAAAGACAGACTAACTGCCCTTTTTGTACAACCTTCAGTCAGCAGGGTATTAAGTATCGTAAATAGCTACAATTTGTACTTATTTGCATCTTAACAATTTCTTTAAATGCATTCTTCAAGAGCTGCTCTTCATTCAAGCCATAATAATTCCCCTTTTATATGGCATCAATGCATCTCTCCAGGCTGTAAAGTCTTTGTGAGACTTTGCATTAGAGAAAGAATTTAACAGTCGGATCTCCCCAAATCCCAAATTAGTCATGCCAAGAAACAATACTTTTTGAGTGTCTGACAACCATTAGTGTAAATCTGACTAAACTGTAAATAGCTTCAGTGGGAAGCTTTAATGAAAAAGCTTGAAAGAAATGGTTTTACCTCAAATATACAACTAATTAGGAGATCCAACAATCATTTCTTATGGAAAAGTCTTTGTTGTTTCAGGATTTTCAATACAACTTCAGTTGTGGGCTACTAAGAGCATATAAACCATTCCTTCCACAACAACTGCTGCCAGGCAAAGTTGCAAATACTTTTTATCCTTCGGCTGATATACAAACTTTATATAAAGGGTTCATCTCATCCACCACTAAAAACTGCTCTCAGCTTGGAATGGAAAAATCTTGAAATTTACGAGTCAGGTTTACTATCCTGTGAAGCAAGTGAAAAGACTGATTCCTTAGACAGCTGATTAAGGCTCTTTTTGCTCTAACACACTTTATCTCAGGAAACAAAAGATACTTTACATATTTGGATCACAAAAAGATTTTTTAGATAGCATATTTGATTGAGAATGGAGGCAATAATTGATTGATATCCACTAGTTTTGGCAACATTTTGTGTACCGTGTGTTGTTTGAAACCATATATTGGTTTCATTTATATGACTGCTTTCAAGACAACAAAAAGGCAGTAGCTCATGATTGGTTGTCCCAGGCCACCCAGAGAAGCTGTGGAATCTCCATCATTTGCATACTCAAAACTCAATTGGACAAGTCCCTGAGCAACCTGATCTAGTTTGAAAGTTAGGAGCAGCATAGGCACCTTCCCACCTAAATGATTCTAAGATGACTCTTTCCTGGAGCATACTGGGAGTTCTTGTTAGTTTCCTTGTTTTAGAAGAAAAAACAGGCCAGAAAAATCCAAAGAACAGACTATAAAAGCAGTAGAGGAGATTTAAAGGAGACTTTGTAAGAAAAGGGAATTCATTGTCAAGTGTTCTGGAAGCACCATGGCAGTGACAAAAGAATCTGACCTATCTTTATTTTGCAGATAGCTGTGGTGGTTTCAGAAATCACCATCACTTGATTTATCTGTTGTTTCTCTTCAGTGAGAATTTATCCCCTCCTCAAAAGCACAGACTGCAGAACTCAATAGCATTAGTGCTGCTCTGAACAGCCTCAAAGAGCATTTTTCCTAACTGTGACCAGAAGTTGGACCTATAGCAGCATTGATAATACAATGAGGCTGTAGTTCAGTTGACTTTCAAAAGAGTGCCAGCTGCTACTTTATGCCAACCACTGAGCACAGGACATCGATGCTCCTCATCGAACAAGTCACTTAGTTTGAAGGTGCAGAGCCTGGATCAATACAAAAGTAGCAGTGAGGCAAATGGTTTTTTCTTACTCAGTTGTGAAACACATTCTGTGGACTTTTGTTTCACACCCAGAATGAGCATAAAACGCGTGGAAGAGGGAGCAGCATCCATGCCCACAATAACAAAGAGACACTCACTTTCAAGAGAAACTGCTCTTTCTCCTTTTTGATTTGCTGTTCCATTTCCTCATAGAGATGTTGAATTTCTTCATCATAAGAGGCAATTTTCCTAATAAGAGATAAAAGTATACTGAGTGGGTCTTTGTAGCATTACTTCAAGTCATGGCTCACATAACGAGCTAAGCCCCACATTTCTGCTTTAACACAAGACTCTAGAGAATGTTCTAGGGTGAAGAAAATAGGATTTTTCGTGCAGGAAAGTCACGGATTAAATTTTTATTTTTTTCTCATGGAAGGAAAGCTTCAACAGCTCAAAGGTTAATAAAGCTACACATCTGATGTTTTCATATAAAGCAGCTGTTCATTATGCAGTTTTAATGACTACTAAATCTTAGGTTTAAGGAACAGAGCTTCCTAGTGACAACACTAAGAATACCAGAGCCTAAGTTTGCCAGTTAAAAGTATTTTCACTGGAACTTCATTTTTTTACTCTGGAACTGCATGGTTCACCATTCAAGAGGTGAACGAGGTACTTCTATCATGTCTAAGACGTTTTAGCTAGAATGGACTTCTTGAAAGTCCTCTCTAACAGCTTTGCTGAAAGGAATTTGAAAAGCCCAGCTGAGGAACAGAAATACATATGCTGTGCACAAGTGTATCTGACTGTAGGAAAAAAGAAGGACTTACAAAGCTCACTTTTTCCAATAGAATATTGCAATTAATATCACTACAGTTTGATACATGAAGGATTACATTGAGCAGATGCTTTAGTTTGGGCAGAAAAAAATTAACTGTTGAAAGGGAACAAGACAGCTGCTTTGTTCTGCTTCTATTCTATTCTATTCTATTCTATTCTATTCTATTCTATTCTATTCCGTTCTGTTCTGTTCTCATTAATCCAGAAGCTGAAAAGCAAGAATCACTTTGCATCAAACTCAGGGGACATCCTAGAAAGATTTTTAATAAAGATTAATAGGGCCTTTATATGAAACTACTGTATATTCCCCCACATCCTCTAGCTAGAGCTGTTCCTTGAGTGATCTGCAGAATGCATCTGTTACAAATAAAGTACATAATTTCCTAGGGCATTCACATCAATAAGAGCAAGACAAGGAATATACAGTAGAAAAAAAAGTCGTTAATTTTGTAATCTGGGTATCTACTGTTTTTTTGTACCTAATGCTCTACATATTCTATGTTTTCACTTATTGAAGGACTGATTTTCTTCTCAGTTAAAGCCAAGCAAATCAGAAAGAAACTTAAAAAAATTTACCTAAGCTAAGAGGATTGAGAAACACCAGAGACAAGTCTTTCTTTCCCCCTTTCAAACATCAGAACACTTGACATTGCCAGCTTGCATTTTCAGTCACAGGTAAAAAATGAGTGGAGGAAGGCATTTTCTCAGGATTTACAGCAGCACTAAACAAATATCAAGTTACACCAGTTTGAGGAAAACGACTGCTGTCACGAAGATTTTTGTAAACTCTAATTAGGTGAGAAAAGCAGCCCAGACAAGGGCTTCTTCATGTGACTGCAATGGTTCCAACAGGGAGTGCCAGAAAATCCAGAAGCCCTTTTTGTTGCCTTACTCCCCTTATAGTGTAAAGTCAGGTCATGTTCTGATCTCAAATTTTATTTTCTTAAAACTAATAAAATACTTCGTAAGAAATTAGCACTTGTCAATGGAATAAAATTACACAAATTCATAAAGAATTAACAATTATTTAGAAAGGTATGGCAGAGATGCTAAGATCATATTTAAAAATATTGTATTCAGGCAGTATAATGTCACTTTGATCAGGGCTAGATTGACTATGTACTGAAAAACCCTGTAACTTTGCACAGACAGAACTCATTGCACAGCAGTCAGTGTTTCCATGGGAATCATAAAGATTTTCTTTACTTCTGTGTGACAGGGAGAATAACTTTAGTCCCATATTATTAAGCTGCTGATTTAGATATTTCTTTCCTCTTACGTGTTTGGAAGCAAAGGATATGGCAGCACCATCAAGACTACATCCAGGAGGTACCTCTGGATGTAGGAATCTTTTTAGTTGGTCTGGCACATAAGCACATGCCATTTCTGCAGGCTGAATACTCCCCAAGCATTTCATTCATGGCTTACCATTCTTAACTCTGATCAAATTAAACAGAAAGATAAAATATGCCCATAAGGGCATATCATTGTTATGTGAAAAATGCAAAATGTTTTGATTAAAATCTCTGTTCCCTGGGATCATACCATCCAGTTTTACTCAATGCATAATTGTATAATTTCAGCAGTATTTGATAAAATGATCTTTCTCTTTCCGGTAATGCTGTGGAATAAACAGAGATGGAGACGAAAGGGAGATGGTGCTGTTGTTGAGCACATTAACCAAAATGGAATGTAACGTGAGTTCACTAAGTTCAGATGACGAGTTCAAGATCAACACACTCACAAGGGTTTAATTTCTGCCTGTTCATGTAGCTGCAATGTGAATTGTTTGGGTTTCACAATTGCTGTTCATGCAGTTTGTTGTAATGGTTCTTCTTTCCCCTTAAAAAAATACAGTGATTTGCGCACTTTGTGCACTAATCTTCTGAGATGCTGATTCTCCTCTTCTTCCACCAAAGGTGGACTCTGACACTGTCCCATGCTAAACCCAATGAAAAGTCAGTTCATCCTTCCCTTCCCGTTTACTCTTATGTTTATCTTCTCTGTTTAGAACTCTGTTGTTTGATACACAGTCCACATTTTTACTGTTTGTCTTTCAAACACAAAGCACAGCAGCAGACAGAGCTAATGGCATTTGAAGATTTTATCTGCTATTAGAAGAAAAAGGTCTCTTTCTCATCTGTTTTAAGCTTACTTCCTATTAGTCTTATTAAATGCCCTTTGGTTCTACTGCTAGGGATTTGAAGAATAACCGTTCCTCATTCAGCCTAGTAAGTGGTCTCATCGTTTTGTAAAGGTCTATCATATCCCACTCCAGCCTTTACCTCCTCACTCAAGAGACCCTCCCTTTTAAAAATAGCGCTCTTAGAATAGCTGTTCCATTCCTTTAACCACTGAGCTGCCACTCTCTGTACCTTTCTTCATTCCACTACATTATTCTTGTGTTGCAGAGACCAGAACTTCACCCAGTACTCAAGATGTGGGTGTACCAAGATTCTATGCAGTGGCAAAAACTTGCTTTGTCATGTTCTCAGCACCCTTCCTGATCATGCATAGCATTTTACTGGGGTTTTTTGGCTGCCACTGAACTCATTTCAGGAAGCTCTCTGCAATGACCCCAAGGACTTTCTCCGGAGTTGTAACTGCTCAGCATCACGTAAGCATGACTTAAATTATTTTACCTTCCTTACATTTCTCTACAATGAAGTTCATCTACCGCTTTTTTGCCTACTCAATACATCACCCTATTATTTAAAAAACACCACTGCTAAATTTAAGAAGCCATCTAATTTTAAATTTGCACTTAAAATTAAATACAAATATCAGAAAATGAAGGAGAACTAACTTACCCTGGCAAACGAAAGTTGTATCCACTGTGTAGATGCCAAAAGCAAAATAGATGAATGTATGGAGCTGCTAGTCCACACTTTCAGTGCACAGCTTAGCTATTGCTGATTCCAGCACCAGACCAGATATATGTACAGTATTTGCTTTGATACATTACTGTAGTAAAAGTCTTTCACTTTTGTTTAAATGAAAAGAAATAAAGAAGCAAACGAGTATTTTTAAAAGGAGAGGGTTTAAACCTCATATTTTCATTTTGCCTTAAAATCTACAAATATAGGCAACAGCTCATCAATAATTCCTTTATGATGATAAACACCAGTGAGGAGAAGAACACCAGTTCTGGGATAAAAATGTGGACGTTTGCTTTGTTTTCCTTAAAGTGTATTCAGTTCTATGTAAAAACTCATCAGCAGTATTTTGGCTGTTGTTTTGCTGAAAAAGAATTAGATCACTTAAAAGGAGAAACATGCCCATGGTTATATTGGCACAGAGTATGTCTGATGCACTGATAGGCCTCTTCCGTGAGTGTATCAGGAATATATTTGATAGCTTGTTAGGAATCTTTGTTGAAGCTCTTTAACTAAGAGATCACAGTGGTAGGTTTTAAGTTTCTTCTCCAACAATCATCTTAACTGCTTAAAATAAAAGATAAAACTGAGGTGAGGTTAATATCTGACAAAATCGGAGTGGGTCAGTTTACCTGAAATACTAGACCTTTAATACTAGAAAAAATTATGGCCTGTTACTAAGTAATATAAATAGTCACACACTATGTGTGCACAGTGCCATAATTTACATGTTCAGAGGACAAAAATACTAGTATCTGTAAAAGGGTCAGCAGTAGACAGTACAATATGCAAATCTCTTCTTCAAGACGATTTAAAAGTTACGAACATGTTTTCCTAGGAAAAAACTTACTTGGCATATAGAAGGTTTCTTTAAATATATGCACTCATATATATATACATATATATAAAAAATATATATATAAATAAAAATTCACAAGGAGATTAAATCTATGCCTTTGAGTAACACCCAACAAAGTACCACGAATTTCCTCTATGCAGGATAATGCTGCATGTTATACAGCATAAATAATATGTATTACAAAATTATTTATAAGTTTACTGAGCTCTATGAGAACAGGTTTGTAAGAGACATGTTAACACTGTTACAGATTAAGTGTTAAAGTGTTGAGATGACTAGGCCTTAGCCTGAGGATTAACTAACTGAACAGAGCGTGAGAAACTACTGGACATTATATGAGAAATTGCTGGACATAACAGTGAGAACTGACGACAGTTACAGATAGCACCCTGATGGATGGCTTTCACAGGGGTTCTAGGAGGAGTTACGCAGTAAACAGCCAACCTCATAGCTATCTGAAGAAGAGTATTTGGCACCTTTTGGGGAGAAGAATCTTGCCAAGGAAAACAGCATCTAGATAACCACATCAGTAACACCATACAAGGGCAAGATTACTTAGGTACCAATATCAGAAATATGAAATTTGCATACAGATGTAGAAAAACGGGGTCCAGTGTAAAAAAAAGTATTTAGGGACAAGTTTTTTATTTATGAGGAGACAAGGATAGGGAAAGGGACCAAGGTGGATGTGAAGGGCGGATAAGTGGCTTAGTCAAGTGTAAGCAATCTGATGGTTAGTATATCGGTCTGGTCAAGTCCTGTGTCTGATTATCACAGACTATGCTGTCTTATTACATTCTATTTCTAACTGTGTGAATTCAGTGTCTGTTCTGTGTGGGTGTTATTCATTAGCATACTTCAAGCTGAACTAGCCAGCAAGGAGGAGGAGATCTCCATCTGGAAAAACTCAAGGTCTGAGATGATGACTGGATGTAAAGGGACTAGGGTCTCGGCACGGCCATTAGATGGACTTAAAAAGTCTTATGCTAAGATCTGAAGGATCTGTGATTGTTAATGTGTGAGCAAATGAACACATTCTGATAGCAAACTTCAACCCAGCTGAACCAGCCAGCAAGTAGAAGGAGACCCACATCTGGAAAGACCCAAGGTCTGAGTCAAAGAATGGGTAAGGGTCCAGGGTGCAGGCAGGGACATTAGGTAGACTAAAGTCCATGCTAATATTCATGTGAATGCACGTTCGTTTCTGAATAAAGTAAGGGGGGGGGGGGGGGGGGGGGGGGCGGGGGGGCTGT